CCCACCCACACCCACACTCCACACCCCACACCCACACACACCTCACACCCACCCACACCTCACACCCACCCACATCCCACTCCACACCCCACCTCACATCCTAAGCAAATATATACACGCACACCCACATCTCTAACCACACCCAAAAGTTCAGCGCGTTTCTATTAACATTAAAAATTGTTATGACTTTGATTTATTCATTTCTTTGACATTTTTTAAAAATAAATTATTTTTTAAAGCTCTATCTATATATCAATAATTTATAACAGCCAGAGTTCGTGAATTTCACATTTCGGCCTCAAAAGGGACCGTATTAATAAGTTATTTTCAAACGTCGCAAAACTTTCGTCACACCCAGTATGTTGATTTATACAACAACAAGTGTCCACATTTTAGAAAAATCAATGAACCAAAACAAAATCATATGCTAATTTTCTTTCGAACGTAATGATTATTTTTTTGATAGAAAATTTTAAAAAAAATTAACTTTAAAAAAAAAATACTAGACAATCATTAGATAGTTATTAAACTATATTATATTTATCTTATTATTCATGAAAAGGAGAGAAAAACAAATTAACACAGAGAAAAAACACATGATTCAGTAAGTGAATTGCTTCATCGTATATATTTTTGTTTTTTATTCTTTCTATTAATTTGCTACTATGATGTGCACTGAATAAGGTTGCGAATTTTTTGTTCTTCTCTTTTTTTTCTTGCGTATCTTCGATAGACATTTGAATGAAACTGACACGCTATACATATTATAATTTGTAGATAACACGTGTGCATCATTATTATAACTTTTATTCAAGACGTTACAACATATTTCGATGGCTTTTATTGCACCAAAAAAACCTTCATCATATTCTCAAGCAAATGAGAATGATGATGATGATAAATCGACAGTGTCTGCGACTACAAATCAAATAAATAAAAACTACTTGCAATCGTCATCACTCAATCCATCGACAATACATCGAGCAATACATTTACAAGCTGGACCATCTATTAATAGTCTAAATGATTCAAGTGATGATGAAAATGACTTTGATGATAACGTATCAGCTAGAGAAAATTATCGTTTTGCACCACAAATTATTCGTGCACATCATTCAAGAACTAATTCAAATCAATTAACAACAAACCATCAAGGATATTTTCATCTTGCAAAACCTAAATCTGATCTACTTTTTATTCGAGCACCACCACCTGAATCTATTAGAATACCTACAAAAACCAATTCACACCAGAATAATAGATATAAATCTGTTATTGATAATCAAGCTGGTTTGATGGCAATAAATACTTTGAAAGATTTACGTGGTCAAACGCTTCTTCATTTAGCTGCTCGTCTTGGTCATGACGAAATCATGCGTGTTCTAATTAGTGAAACTTCACAAGCTAGTATGATAATGAATAAAAAAGGACAAACACCATTATTAACAGCTATTGAAGCTGGTTCAATATCTACAGCTACTTTATTAATGGAAACTGAGCCAAGGTCGATTATTGTTAGTGATATCAATGGTTCTAGTGTTTTTCATTATGCATGTGAACATTGTAATGATATTGTTTTACATCGTGCTATTGCATTATCTAAACGGCTCAATTCAACCAGCGATCGAATAACCGTAAGTAACTAACTATATTAAATGTACTGATTTCAAAGTATACGTGTACTAAGACAGTTTTTAGTTGGGTACCCGAAAAGGTACCTTGTTACCAGTGCGTAAAAATATCTTCACCGAATATTCTGCTGCCAATAAAAATACTCCTAGGAAAATCACGATTATTTTTGATTACCGGTGTACAAATCTCATGTTTTGTATGAAGCCTCCACTTTTTGAAGGATAATCTGATTATAATTGATTTGAACTTCTAAATTGATTGAAACAAATTTAGTACATCGATTATTATTGATTATTTCAGTTATAATCTAATTTTTATTAGAAGTCATTTTAGTATAACCAATCGATTGAAATCTGAATTAACAATAATCAAGTTAAGAGATTTTTAATCGATTACTAACAATTATTCTATTCATAATCGGATTTTCATCAAAAATCGATTTTCATTTGATCAATGGATTATGAAGAAGTTGGTGAGTTTCATTAAACTGTACACAAAGGTAAATTATTCAGACAAATACAAGGTGTATATATGTGAATCGGTTTTGTGTTGGATACGTGTAAGTGAAGTACAAAGGACCTTTTCTCACGCCTACACTGTTCCGGATCTGGTTCGAGCCCGCTCAACACAATTATACCTACGACCTATAGCGCATGCCTATACTATTATGTATATATTGCATACTTATTCTCTTAAACCTATTCTCATGTAACTATACCCTTATATCTATACTTTTATCACATTATCTTTATTCGCATACATTCACACCGGTGTACGACCGTCAATGATTTACCTCGGAAGCTTTTAACATAGAGCCAGTCGGATACTGATCTGAGAAAAAACTGACAGGATCTAAGAAGGAATAGCTTGTACTTATACGACAAGTCGAACGATCATATCAGTTTTCGATACACCTTATAATACAAACAAGTACAGACCTTGTACTTCCTCTTTATTGTTTTTTTTAGACTATACATTATTGCGAGAAAGTCTTGAAAATGAGATAAAGGTGGTCTATCAATGACTCGAATATTGCATGATTCATTCGATTTTTATGTTCGTTATATTGTAGAATTAAAATATATTTTACAAGATTAATTGATTTTAATCAATGTTGTCATTTTCAATGAATTTTAATCGATTCTTAAATAGTTGTACCATCTCCATTTGAAACAGTTTATATGAAAATCTCAAAATTACCCTGAGATACCGAAGTGTCCAAAAGTTTTTGTTACAAATTGGTAGCAGGATTCTCTTTCGAGTACTTTGAACTCAGTACATTCACTAAGGAACATTAATATTGTCATCAAATGCTACGCTTTTTGTTTTTATTTTAGGCATTATGTCGTATAACTGAAAGAAATCTTGCTGGTAAAAGTCCATTTGATATAGCTATAGAAAAGGGTCAATTAAAATGTATTAAGCAAATTGTTTTATCACCTTGGCTTGAAGCAAATATTGATATGCGAGAATTAATTGATGCTCGTTCAATGAAAAATGCAATTGATAAAGAACAATTAGATATTTTAACATTTTTTGTTTCAGAACCAAAACGATTTGCTTATATTATTCATTTATTAGTGGAAACCAATGGACGATCTTTTAATTTGGTAAAGTGAATTTTATTTGTTTTCTAATTAACGAAAACAAAAATGTCTATTGATACGAGAAAGTATGTTGAATAATATGAGACTATTGACAGTAGTAAAATATTTCCTATATCATTCGATGATTATGCACTTGGGAGTAAATAATGTACTTTTAAAATATAAAGTTACGGTATATTTCTTTTTTCGAGAAGTATACAATAGTACATGCTAATAAACAGTGTACACGATTATAAGAAAATATATCTTAATAGAATTATACGAACTACAACATATATCACTACAATATATTATGCAACTATTTTCGTCAGTTGTTGAACAATTTTAAGAATTCAAATGTCATTGAAAATAATTTTCGCTCCGAAATATATGAACTCATGAAACATTGTTATTGAAACGACACATTAACCAACTTTTTATTGAACATTAGTAAAGGTACCTATTTAAGTGCTAAGTAAAAATATATGAATGCTAAGTTGATTTTTGCTAAGTAAAATTTGTGTATGCTCAGTAAATAAGTTAGATGTTCAATAAATTTATTGAATGATAGATTAAATTAATATTTCTCTATAATTAATATTTTTGTCAAGTTTGATAATTAATATACAAGTAAAATATGTAATTATTAAGTTAATAAATTGGGTCTTATAATTAAGAAAACATATTAGATAAATAAAAAAAATTGTTAATAAGTAAATATGATTAAGACAAGATAAGATAACGATTGTCAGTTGGTGATTTGGCTTGTACATTTTTTCTCTTGTCTTCTGTTAGTACTGATGTGACACTATAAAATAAGTAGAAACAATTGCTATTCTAATATTTTTAAACAGAGATATTTACCTGAAAATATACAGAAAAAAAAAATTTACATAAACTTTTCTCGTAGATTTTTCGGACATTCTATAATTCATTTAGTTATATGCATTCTTTTTTTCCGGTTTCAAATGTTAATTTTTTTCATTTCTAGTTAGAGTATGCCATTTTATTAAAAAAGAAAGATATCGTTAGATTATTTGTTAGTGTACGTATACCGATTGAACAATATAATTTTCGTTATGAATATAAAGAATTTTTAAAACATTATAATGAATCATATGCTCAAACAAATTCATCACCTTTTTATCAAACACCAATACAACGTATGTTAACAACACCTGAGTGTGTACCATTAGTACCACTTATATTAGAACAATTTGTTAGTGATCATGGGATTGATTTATCGATTGTTGATGATTGTTTATATGCTCGACCAACGAAAACAAGATGTATATTTGGACGAGCAAAACATTTTTCAACAAATAATTGGCTTCAAGAACATCCATTAAGTAATGAAAAATATTTTGTATCCTAAATAAAACATATAGTTTTTTTCTATTTCTTAGCTTTAATTGCTAAAGCTGATTGTAAAGATGTATATGATCATCGTTTAGTTCGTTTATGTGTTGATTTAAAATTTAATTTATTTGGAAACTTTCTTTATATCATTATACTTTTTTGTCAATCAACATATGTTGCACTTTATACAGGTATTACATTAGGTTCACCAACACCAGCTGCTCAAAATACAAGTTATTATGCAATGACTAATTATTCATGTTTTGATTTATGTATAACATTAGCTAATAATCTTCAAAATCCAGCTAGCAACGATCCTATATGCCGTACTTTTCGTTCAATATTATTGGTTTTATCGTGTTGTGCTTTATTGAAAGAACTTTTTCAAATAATTACACAAAGAAAAGAATATTTTCGGAAAATTTTAATTAATCTTATTGAATTACATATGTATGTAAGTATTGATCAGAAAAGTTCTGATAGTTTAATTTTTTTGCTATATTTGGATAATGAGAACCCAAAGAAATATTATCTAAATTAGCTTGTCAATCTTTTAATGATTGATGAGTTCTGTTATATCTTTTTTTGAAATATAGTCCTTCATCATTGAAATAGATCGACTATTTTTGATGGAACCGTCTTTGAATGATTGTTGATAAGTTCTTCGTAGTTTAATATATTTTAATCTTGTTTTATTCAATCCATATTCAGAATATCTGATGTTTGGTCGTATATAAAATTAATTATCATTTTGTATTATCATTTTTCGATAACATGCGTGGCTGGTGCCGATGAGTTACATGAATTTGGTTTGAAAAGTTTTCGGCTCAATGCAAAATTCTACTAACTTTTCGACTCACGATGAAACTTTTCCAACTGATTCCGAGTTTTCGACTTCATATTTTGGCCATAGTTAAGCCTCAGTGAGACCTAGAAAACCCTAGAAGTGTTCGCATCCATGAGCTGTTGGTTCAAAGTTATAGCCGTTTTACTGAGTTTTTAGCCTGCAGCACAGTATTAATAGGAAAGTCAAATGAAGGTATTTCGAACTGGTAGTCTGGTAATAAAAAGATTTAACCATTTCCAATATGTGCCAAATGTTTTAATCAAAGCAGATGCTTCCTTCTTGAGATATGCAATTTTCAATAAATGTTCACTTATAACAGGCACGTCACAATAATGGAGCTGTTCTGCAAAATGGAAATCTCACGAAGAAAATACTTATTTTGATTACAACATTTCGGTAAATGTTAGAAACGCTTACATCTGTTTTTGAATGAAGTATCAGATTGAACTATCTTCATTTGACTTTGCTATTGATACCATGCTGTAAGCTAAAATTCAATAAAGACAGCTGTAGCTTTGGTCCAACAGCCCATGGGCACGAGCGCTTCTGCGACTTTCGAAGTTTCACTGAGGTCTACCGATCACCAAAATATAAAGTCGAAAGCTCGAAATCAGTTGAGGACAATTTCCTCGCCAGACCAAAAGTCTTGTATGATTATCGAACCAGGTCCGAATTTCTCTAATTAGTTTTCATAAAAAATTCGACGATCTATGAAAATTTAATGCATTCCATAGTATTTAGAGACACATATTTGCAATAAAACGTAGTGCTCAATAAGGCGCTGTAACACTCAACACAACGGCATAGTGCTGATTAGTCTCCTTTGATTCTGTTAGAACTGGTGTAGTCTTGTTGGGATACTTATAACTTGTATACAATAAGTGCCAAGATGACAAGTGAAGCGCTCGGTAGGATTATCAAGTGATGCTTCCTCTGATCCACTTTTAACTGATCAATGCTATTGTGCACAATGTCGTCTTGCCGAGTACCATACTTCGGTGCTGGGCACTACGTTTTAACGAAAGTGTATTTTGTTAAGCATATTGAGTGTATCAAGTATTCATAGAAATAAAACTTTTTAGGAGAACTAATGAAAGGAATTTCGAACCGTGCTGAAATTTATACTTTTCGAGCGAGTAATTTATTCAATACTAGAACTGATTGTTTTAAATAGATTAGTGCCATCATCTATTCGGTCGATGTAAATGAATGTACACGTCAAACAGGAATTCGTTGTTCAACTCAATGGATGGTTGGTGGTATTGGGCTATTATCTGTTTGGAAATCTTTATTATTCGTTTTTATGAATGGCATTAAATTTGGTAAACATGGTCTTTTATTTATAACTGTATATGCAACATTTCTTAAATTTATTGCTGTTTATTTTCTGATTTGGATCGGTTACATCTTAGCTTTTTATATGATTTGTAAAGATATATTGCCACAATTTCAATTTTTTAATTTTATACCAAAATTATCAGTTATGTTTATTGGAGAATATGATATGGATACATTATTTTTTCCAAATAATGTATTATTACATGGTTCGGAAGCTGGATTGATACTTTACAGTGCTTATGTGTTTACAATGTTTATTGTTATGATGAATATAATGGTAAAAAGAAATGTTTATACATTTATATATAGGGTTGTGCATAACCTTTTGCTAGGGGGGTAGCGCCATTATTTCAAGTTGAATACCTAATGAATTTTATACCAAATTAAAGAGCGTTGAAAAATGGATTTATTAGTACTAAATAGTAAGAGTTTTCAAACTATTTTAATGTGGAACTTACGAAATTTTCGGAAATTTTATGCTTCTTTTACCATAGAAAATGAAGGCACCACCAATTCAAATATAGAGTAAGATATTTTCTTTTGATATTTTTATATGGTTCGATAGAGCTCGTCGAGCTCTACAAAATTGTATATATCAGAAATTTTTTAAGCCATTTTTTTCAGATAAAAACTTTAAAAAATTACTTGTAAAATCCTAAAAAATCTCTAGAAACTCGTTTTTTTTATATGGAAGAAAAACACGATTTTTTCAATGAAATTAGCTTTTTTCATTATTTTTATTGATAAAGACACTTCGAAATATACTCCTCCGGTGCAGCGTGAAAAACTGCGTCTGACGAGTATATCTCGAAGCGTCTTTGCTAGTAAAAATAATGAAAAAATCTAATTTTATTGAAAAAATCGAGTATTTTTCTTACCTATAAAAAATTGCCGGTGCCTTAATTTTTTATGCTAAAAAAAGCATAAAATTTCCGAAAATTTCGTAAGTTCGACATTAACATATTTTGATAACCCTTACTATTTAGTACTAAGAAATCCAGTTTTCGACGCTCTTTAATTTGGTATAAATTTCATTAGGTATTCAACTTGAAATAATGGCGCTACCCCCCTAGCAAAAGGTTATGCACAACCCTGTATATCGTTATATAAAGAAAACCTGTTTGTTTAGGGCGGTTTAGCCGTTGTTGATGTAAAACAAAATCGTTTAAATGCTAAACGAGAACATTTACGATCACGTATTGGTCTTGTATTAGGTTTTCAAGCACATGTAGGTGGACTTTGTGAAACAATTGGTAATATAATGAGAAGATTTTCCAAAAATGCTCGACTTCTGAATTTTTGGGAAAGATTAACTGGTACTTCAGTGAAATATGATTTGCATGAACTTGAAATCCGTTCATATATAATAAATATTCCACATAATCTTAACCGATCATATTCTTCTCTCGTAACACCACGAAAAAACCGTGAACGTATCAGAGGTCATCGATCCGTGTCATCATCATCAACTACTATCGGAATATTTGAACAAGTTGAAACAGAAACAGGTTATTATTACCATGAAGATACAACACATGATGATAGTTTATTTAAGGAAGAACAAAGTGCACATTTCTTAAAGAAAACAGACGATCTACGTGATACAATTGAAGAAACAGGAATCCGATCAAATAATGAAATAAGAAAAATGGCGTCAAGTTTACAAAAAGAATTGGAAGATATTAAACGAAGACTGATGGAACAATAATTTCAATGTAATATCTAACAACTCATTTCATCTGTTGGTCTCTGTGTTGGAAAAAACAGTTTTGAATATTAATAAAATTGCTTAAAAATATCTTTTTTTTTCTAAAAAACGATATATTATTCGAAGACGAGAACTTTCTTCCATTGTCATCAGTATTTACTGCGCTTTTTATATTTGCTTTATGTCTTCTTTTTATAAGGAAAAGAATTCTATAACTATTTCTCATCAGAAATGTTCTTACCTCATGTCGACAAATAGTTAACAGACAAGGAGAAACGTATGATGACGAACTCTTACCTTTCATATCATAATGTCATAGTCATGATCAATTAAGTAATGCTTGAAATATGCGATTATTTCTTTTAAATAGTATCCAGATTCACACAATCTACTCTACTGTTTTGAAAGTTCTGTTGTAATAATCGATCAATGTTAATGCTTGAGGGTTACATGAATTTCGGCCCAAGAATTTTTCGTCCCAAACTTTTCGGCCCGGTCCAAAATTCCGGTGATTTTTCGGTCCAGACCGAAAGTCAGATAGGAATCTTGGTCCAGTTCTTAAATAAATTGAATTAATTAATTATTAATTAGTAAACTTCATAGTGCTGAGCACCATGACTTTTCAAAAAATCATTCTGCTGAGCAGTATGGCATAGTGCTGAGCAGTATGAATATTCAATAAATCATCTTGCTAAGTGGTATGACATAGTGTTGAGCAATATGCCGTAGTGCTGAGCTGTATGAATATTCAATAAATCATCTTGCTAAACAGTATGACATAGTGCTGAGCAATATGAAATTGTGCTGAGCAGTATGAATATTAAATAAATTATCTTGCTAACCAGTACGAATATTCAGTAAATCGTCTTGCTAAGCAGTATGGCATAGTGCTGAGCAGAATGATTATTTGAAAAGTCATGGTGCTCAGCACTATGAAGTTTACTAATTAATAATTAATTAATTAAATTAAATTAAGAACTGGACAGAGATTTCTTTCGGATTTTCGGTCCGGACCGAAAAATCACCGGAATTTTGGACCGGGCCGAAAGTTTGGGACGAAAAATTCTTGGGCCGAAACTCCGGACTCCCATGCTTGAGGTTTGGATATGGGTGTGAGTGTTTTAAGATAGTTACATTCACACACATTCATCGCTCTCGTTTTTGATTTTTTCTTCGTTTAAGATCAACGTGTCCACACATAGTCGATTGGAACAGTCGCTGTTATTTGCACAGTGAAAATGCATTACACATTCGATGAAAGATGCATTTTGCTGAGTGTTGCCCTTGATTATTTTCAATGTCGAATGAACGAAGAAGAAATTTTCAAAAAAAACATGTATTTGTATGAAATCTTCAGAAACTCACATTTGCTTGCTACATATTTTTCAATACATCGTATCTCATGCATGAATATACAAGCTATTTCAAACATTGGAAACTGTTGCACATAAATGCAAGACTATAGTACAAGGATAGCAGCCATGTATATCAGAAACACACGCACAGAAATACAATTTTAAGAAAAGTTTTTCAACAAAATATGCGAGACAGTATGCCATTATTATTCTTACAAATAGTTGCATATGACATTCTTACGTGTTTATGCAAGCTATATTACTCACATGTAAGTACGAAATCTTTTATTAGTGTGTATCTGCAAGGTGGCTAGAATTTTGATAAATTCTGCATATCAATGCAAAAAAGCGATATTTACGAAAACTGTTACCAAAACGACTCTGTGTCGGCATGTAAATTGGTGTCATTTTGTAGCGCGCATGCCACTCTAGGCATGACTTTAGTTGTTTTTCTTCGGTACTTGTTTTTTTTTGTTTCTCATTAAATTGGAATCGCTCTCATATATCTACACTATATATGCTCAACAATCATGTTCAGTTTTTCGAGTTCACCAATAGTTATTAGTATTCATGCTCATTATCCATAAACAAAATAAGATGACTACTGGTAGTCTATGAATGCCTCACAAATTTTCAATACGTTGAAAACATCTTGCCGATGTTGACAAATTCCCGATAGCCGTGAGTCTGAGAGAAGAAAACAGCTACACCCTCAAGTAGTTTTAAGTTATTGATAAAAATAAGTTTTTTTTCTACATTCATTTATTCTTTTTTTCTTGAAACTAATTTATTGGAATTATTCTATCCATTCTCCATTAGCTTTTGGATTGCAATGTTACAAGCGACAAAAGGTAAAAATTTTCAAATAAATGATGCTAAAATGCAACTGTCATGCTTTTCTCGTATAATCACATGGTTTTCTTATCAAATCACATAAAACATGTCAAGTATTTTAATCAAATAATAATGTTTGCAAGATGTTCACATTCGCTCGAACTATGTAGATCAATAGGCTTATCTTCATTTATGATGTCGCAATAATTTAGAATAGGTATAATTTTAATATCTTCTGACGGGTTCTTTTGCAAAGGTGAAATTAAAACGACGATAACTACTCTCACATGCAAACATCGTCAAAATTCGATAAAAACTGTTCTCGAAAAAGAACAAGAAGAATAGCTGTATATTGAGGTGTGGGTGTGAGTGTAAATGAGATAAGTACACTCACACTCACACACACACCACAACCACACCCACATCCACACCCACTTCTCAAAACCATACCCACATTCACACCCTTTATCCTATGTCTTAAGTTGTAGACACAGATATTAAGTTAAGCGTATTCATAATCAGTTCAAAAAATGTCTATGAGACCAATTATTTCGTTTTTTTTGGAACATTTTGTCCAGGTCATTGGAATGGGATCTTGTAAGAAAAGCAATAGTATCCAACAAAATATTTTAATTTATTTCTTTATTAAATATTTTTTGTATTAATTTAAGAAAACTAGATTCACTACACTACCTTTCATTCTTTCTCAATGTTCCTCTTGGTATCTTCTTTTTATTTAATAGAATAAATTTGTATTCTTGTTGTGGGTGTAGGTGTGGGTGTGGGTGTGGATATACATTAAGAGAAGACAATACCTGCGCCAACACACTTCTTCTGTATTATTATCACATTTAAGATATTTACCTATCGATGAAATAAAACTTAATTCTATATCCAAGAAAAATCAAATTACAAAAGTTTATTTGGAGAAAATGTTTACCATTGAAGGAATTTATTTTTTCATTGAATTTTGTTCTTGTATGACATATCTCAAAGTGAATATTATAAATAATATGGATATGGAATTATTTATACGACTTATTCTAACAAAAATTATTGAAAAATCCAGTAATCAACTTTCATTATTGTCTTTTCATGTTGTAAATTATTAACCACCAAAAAAATTGCTATTAGAATATAAAACTAAATGTATACTTGAGCATATTTATTTACAATAGAAACAATTGTTGTGTTTATTCTTATAGAAAAGTTTTTAATCAAGTTAAAATCTATTCATTCTTTTATATACGATTTGTTTTCATATATTAATTCAACTTGATAATAATAGAAAACAATCATCTTTCAATCATGTTTCCATTGATCTCGAGTGCAGCAATCGTACATCTTTTAATAGAAAGGAATTGATATTGAGAAGAAACTACCCAACCGACCATCCGATAGGCATTTCGACCCCTCGATTTTCCACCGTCGATGTCTTCTAAGATACCCATCGTCGAGCCCTCGACCCATCGGAAAATGGCAAACCCAGGGGTCGATTTGAAATTCCGATGGGTAGACCTCGTGCCCCAGATAGCACCACGATACATATTACGAAAACGTCGATCCTATGCTTCTGCTAACTATCAAGTTACTCATCATCTAGCCTTGGACCCATCGAAATTTCAAATCGACCCCTGGGTTTGCCATTTTCCGATGGGTCGAGGGCTCGGCGCACCCCTCGCACGTCTTTTTTAGCTCACTTGGGTAAATAAAGAAGAAATTTACGATTGTGTTTTCCTATCTATGCCTTCCACATTTTGCTTGGCTTTGTTCTCTTTTTCCGTTTCTATCAAAAACTCACTAAGAAACACTAAGACGAAAATTTCGAGTTGAGATGAGACTTGTACATCTATATCCTTTTGTATCAAAACATAACTTATGCGCAATAATAAAAGAAAATCCTCTAGATTTTTACATTAAAAAATATACAGAAAAAAAACCAAAGCAAATGGATAAATCTGATTTAGGAAGATTCTTTTGTTATAGTGATATATTTTACCGAGACGATTTCAAAAAGCGTGAAGTTGATATCCTTGGTCGTTTTTTCGAATGAGAATAGTTAAAGATTTGAAAGATAGATATGAGACTTTACTATTAATATGGATCGATTTCATAACGTAGATCCACATATATGAAATGGATGCGCCTTTCTGCTTCTCTTTGCTTCACTTTTCTTTTTATTTATCGCGCATTTTTCTTCTTCTTCTCTTCTCGTTTCTCATCCATTCTCCTTTTAAATCAAAAACAAATGTCAAAACTGAAAGTTACAGAGTATAGTCGATGAAATCATTGATTAAACTACAATAGACTAGGCACATTCATTTCAATAGATGTGTGAAAACAGAAATAATAATTAATATACTTCACACAGGTATGAATGTGTCCAGTTTTCAAAACTATGTGAGCTCATATGCACATTCCATTTGTCATTTAATTCGTATCCAAAAGTAATGTATTTCTCATCCTGTTCAAAAATACATTCAACTTGATTCCATTATGCATGAATTGATACACAAGAATATATACACCCCTGGGCAAAAGTCTTCCCCCCCCCCCCCCCCACCTCTTTTTTCGGCAAGGTTTTCTCTGCTATTATAAGGACAAAACATGGTGTTGTTCGGGCTATATAAAAGAGGACCCTAATAACCCCTAATCGGCCCGAACAACACCATGTTTTGTCTTTATAATAGTAGAAAAACCCTCGCTGAAAAAAGAGGTGGGGAGAAAGACTTTTGCCCAGGGGTGTACAAGGATTGTCCTTCTTATTGGTGAAAAATCTAAAACAGAAGCTATTATTATAGCAACTGATATTTTCAACGTTTATCAATGAATATAAATGGCAATATACTTTTTTTGTCTGCTTTTGTTCATGCTAATACTCAAAAACAGTAGAAAAGTCGCAATTTTCTTTCATTGTAGAGAGTAAAACGGTAGAAAATGCAGTATTGGAAAATTCCCTACAGTCTGATTCCATATCCATCTTATTTCATTTTTCACAATTTGACATTTTGATTTTCGATGTTTTACAACCTAACTAAAATGTCTATTCGCAACTAAGACATACTTTGCCATTTTAAACAGTGTCGACATTTTCTTTATCGATATTTGATCTATAAACAGAGTTAACTCGCCATTTTTCAATTTTTCTACTAGTGTGCAGCAGCAAACATCGATGAAGAGCGTATATTGCCTTTCTTACTTACATTTCAATATGTTATATTTGTCCAAGAGTGGTACTTTTCAATATTTGTTTCTTACGCTGATGATAATAGGTTCGAGTAACGGTAAATTACAATCAGATATCACATTTTGGTTCGACGACAACAACCAGACTGATTTTTGGACTGGTACATTCGTTGCGGGTGAAATAGAATTTGCTAATTTTGATCATAAAGACTTGAAATTAAAGAGCATCGATGTAGAACTTATTGGTGAGCTTGTCTACACAGAGAAGACCAAGTACGATAAAACAAGCAATAACTGTCAAAAGACATTCTTCGAGCAAAAACTCAATCTACATTCTGTTAGTGATCATGGTAGCTTTTTTTTACCATACGGAAATCACAGGTGGCCATTTCGTTTCCCTCTTAGCGAATTCTTACCACCGTCACTCGAACAGGTCAATTTCGATGATCCATTTATTCATTATTTCCTTCGCATCGTATTTATTAGACCCGAATGGTACAAGTGGAACATTAAGAAAAGAGTACCCATTGTCGTCAAACATGCTTCACCACCTTTAGATGTGGCACAACTTGAAGTCAAAAAACAGAATCGTAAGGGCGTTCATCTTCACATCACTCTTCACGAGAGCTTTGTCGCTGCAGGAAAGAATTTTTCATTTGAAGTTAACGTACGAAATCCGAAACAACTGCTGATACACCGGATATCAATGACACTCATTCAATATTTGGAGTTAGGTCCTGCCATAAAAAAAACTTTCAAAATGTTAGATCAAAATTTAGAAAAAACTGAGCAACTTCAGAGTTCACACTTTCACGAAAACTTTCAGATGCATGTACCTTTCATGGCTTCACCGACGTTTTCATTTCATTCTCCTTCTAGTTCTATTAAAAAACCACTCATTGTACGTTATGAACTCCGCTTTCAAGCTCATCTTCGTGGTTTTTTTACTAACATTCGCCTGCAATTCCCGTTAAGCATCACTACTCATCCGATAAATAACTGAGTCAATTTTGTTGCCATCTACAAAGTACAGATGCTCTTCGTTCTTGAGACTAGATCAATACTGCTTGTAAATGGAATTGAAGAAATTTTTCGTGCATTGATTCAAAGAGTAAATTAATATTGTTGATTTATTTCTATAGACATATTGAGACCTAAAGGTATATTGATTATACAGAATATTGTCTTCTTATACGAGTTTTTCTGATAAACTTATACACAAATATTCTTGATGAATCGTGGTCATCGTCCAATTTTCGAATATATCTTTTACAGATATGTGGGCTTATTTCGTGCATAAAACTATTGTTATTTTGTTGATTGCCGAATTTATAAACAAGGGTGTGGATGTGAGTTTGGTTTTCTTCTTACGCTAACATCTACACTCATCTTCTATCTTTATTCTTTTTTGCAAGTTCACCACACACTTCTTCCTAAAAGTCTAGATGGTTTATTATATGTTTCAACGAATTGGCTTATACAGTAATTAATGTAAAGATTAGAGAATGCTTGCTCCTCTATTATAATAACGTATCATTGTTCGAATGCGAAAGTTTAGTACTAATCTGTTGAATAGCTTCACGACAATCTGAATTGATTATCAGCTCACTTTCACTTCTCTCATTTTTCATAGAAGGGTGTGGGTTCGAGTGCGAATAAGACTTTTTGTAAACCCATCATCCATACCCACACCCTTACATCCAAATCCATAAGATATGCTCACTATCTGGTTAACTCAAAGCGAGACATTAACCAACGGACACGCACATTATTTAATAAATGAAGCATCTTGAATACAAATTGCACTTTCAATATTGTCAGAGAAACTATTGGTAATTAACTGAACAATTGAAGAAGAAAATGCTTTTTTTGTGTCAAGGAATAAAATGGAAACGGGATTTGGCAGCACTAAAAGAAGATATCAATTCGTTGTACATTTCACACTATGGAATAGAATTTTTGAAAACTAGAAAATTTCAAGAAAAAATCAGCAATCTCAATAATTTTTCTTATGTTAACTAATAGAAATAAAATATTATTTTGAAATCTTACTGTAAAACCACCTTCTTACTTGTTTATCCTTTTCATCACATCAACATATATACGTGTATGAATGAGCGTTCTATGAGTAAGGGGCATAAAATATATCTCAAATATAATTTTTCATGATTCTGCTGATAAATCAACACAATATTTTATTAATGCCATTGATCAATAAAATTCATTGATATTTGATTCTATTCTTCCGTATGTAAGTCTTCTTTTTTTAATTTTAGCCTAAGCATTCTTTGGATGGGTGTGGGTGTGGGGTGGGTGTGTGGGTGTGGGTGAGTGTGGGTGTGGTTGGGTGTGGTTGGATTAAATAAATTCTCACACACAAACGCAAACCCACACCCAAACCCACATCCACACATCCCACACCCACCCACACCCACCTACACTTCATCACACACCCACACGCTTTTGATGATTCATAAGTAAAGAATAGGCGATTAGGCAGCTAAGTCATTAAAACAACTTTTCCCTCTTTTAACATCTTAATACGTCATATTCTTTTGTTATTCAATGCCGGTCTATTTCTTATATAGGAGTGGATAAATGTTTTGCTAAATGTTCTGTAAAAAATGAACAGGAATACCATATTGAGTAGTTATATTTTCATCTAAGAGTAAACCTGTAAAGAAAAACTTGCACCAGTACTCGTCAGAGCTACATACACAGAAGACTTCGTGAATGCTCAAGCGAGTAATATGAAAATTCATGCTGAGATGTACTCATTGAACGAGTATTTTCAGTGCAAGATATTCTACAAAACACTCTTGTGCTATGCGGTGAATATAAGTCAACTAAATAGATGGATAGCGTAGGAACCAATATGTTTAGTATCTGTCATGCATATCATTGTTTTCACAACAAGCGTGGTTTATATATGACATTCTTTTTATCTGCATAAGGTAAAAAAAGTGAGTTCGAAACTACGTGAGCTCAAAATTTCAAGCTCACTTTTTACTATTCCATGTTTTATATTGTATACAAGATAGTAGACTCTCATCAAGTTGACCTACAGACTGTCAGCATTATGTAACTGTAAATTAATTAATTAATTAATCAAATAGAACTCATCTCAAATAGTGCTTACATTAATTAACTGTGTACTTATTAGGGTGAGTCCCATCCAGGCATCCTACCCGTAACTTTTTGAAGGCTATCTGGGCATCGAATATATAACATATTTAAAGCCTTTCTTGACATCATATCAGCAACTTGAGGATTTGGGTGCGACTATGGCTATCATTGTGGGTGTCAATGAATATCAGATCAACATCCACACCCAAAGCGCCATATTGTAGGTTTTTCTTGTGAGTCATTGAACTTGTGATGTGTTCTTTCCGCTTGAAAAATAAGAATTTATAAAATAGGATTGTGTGGTATCCTGAATCCAGACATGCTCTTTCAAATAAACACTAAATTTAAATGCATCATATGAACAGAAACTGAGAATAAATTGGTTGCCAAATTCGCTATGTTTGACCCTTGTTTGGCCAATTTCGTCGTCAAACGTCACAATATCGGACTAAAAATTTCACCGTAGCCTTTCCGCAACGACCTCAACATATTTTGAGAATTTCATGTTATTTGAACGTTCCTGTGCTCAGATTGATTCTTTTAGAGTGAAGGGGGCTTAAATCAATAATATAATATAAAATTTAATCGAGTTTTTTCTCAAAGACTCTGAAAATTTCAAGTCTCTCCATTGAGAGACTTTTAGATGAAATATATACGAGTCTCAATTCAATAGAGGTTCTGTAAATGTGAATGTCTAAATAATGTACCTAAATGATAATCAATTTGTTGTTATTTAATGTTGATGTTGTCTTCTTTATATATATGTTGCTATCTTCGAGTGTCGGCAAATGTTGCAGTTTCGTCCTACCTTTCCTTTTTTTTATTTTATTTATTATATATTACATGTTATATGTGCCGATGTATATGCATGAACTTTATTAAGTAAGGAACGAAAAACAAACGAAAACATATATAACATATGCATGTGAAGAACGAAGGGTAAAAATATGCCAATAGTGATCAAAAGAGGACAAAAGAAGATAGAGGATAATATAGAAGAATAATCATGTCAACGTGTGCCATCATCGTAACAATCATCATTTATTTAAGGTTGATCAATAAATGTGAGGATAAGTTTTAGGTTCAAAAAGAGTCATACATGAGGGAAAGTAACGAAAACAACCATAGAAAACAAAATTGAGCAATAGCAGACAAAATATGCCAAACTTCTCGAAGTACTGTGAGACTCTGACTGCCGGAAATGTTTATGACTTTTGCTCCAATATAAGACTTAGAAGAGATGGCAGTTAAATATGTAATCGCGGTCTGCGATCGAAATGAGGAATCTCACGTAAAATACTGGACTGTCCAGAGAAAACACACACTAATCATAGAGAAAATAAAGAAGAAAAATCGATAGAGAAAAACAGAAAAGTTAGCGGTAATCGAGTGATCTTTAAAAACGTTAGCTTGTGCTTTTCCTTTCATTTGAGGCTTATCATGCGATTCGATCTCCATTATATATAATTTGTATTCTTGTGTTAAGTTGAACGTTTTCTGATAGTGCTGCACGTGATGTATGCTTAGTCATCCCATCTATTTTTATATGAATAGAATACATTTTATTGAATAAAATCTAAACATCTTGTTTAGCTAACTCTACTATTGAAAAGTGAGTGCGTTATCAGGTTCACATTTTTCGTTCGACTCACGGACTTTGGACGCATTTTGAGTAGAACATTGGCAACATTTTTTACCCTTTGTAGAGTAAGATAGTACCCATACTCGTCTACTTCTGTGCGCACAAGCTGTGAGATGAACGAAAAAAAAAAAATGAATGTGATAACGCACTCACTTTCGGTAGAAGAGTTAGCTGGGCAAGCTGTAAACTTACCTGAACTATCTAAATTTCCAATAGCTATAAGTGGAATATAAGTTGTAGATGGAGATAGTGGAGAAATATCACGTCGTCGCCGTTTCGAGTCACTAAAATTTGATAAATTAAATTCACAATAAGCTACACCATTGCGAAGTGCCAGCGAAGTAGGAGTTAATGTACCAATCAGATTTGCTATAGTATTAGCTAACACCGTTGGTGAATTACCAAGTGGATTAATACAACGAATAACTGAAATTTGATCGTTAGCTGAACGTTTGCAGACAAAAACATGATCTTCACCCTATATATTAAAATATAAGTATTAATAAAATATAAATAAACACATATGCTATACCATTTTGTTATCAAGTGAAAGACCTAAAGCTAACCATTGCGATGTTTTTAAATTATTAATTTGCATTTTAACAGATGTGACACCATTTTCGTAGGTCCAATTAATTCGAACTTCATTACTATTGTTCTGTGGACCAATAGAAGGAGTCGTGACAGGAATGGGAGTAGAAGAACGAGTATTTGGAATAGTACTAGTATAACCACTAACGATCTGCCTAGTTGACGAAGTTTTCTATTATATATGGAAGATAAAAGTGATTTATTAGTACTTTAAAAGTAAATTAAGAGAGCATCAATTTTAGAAGACTTTCAGATGTCGATTTTTATAAATATTTCGATGAAAAATGGAGTTACGATGATTCAATAATTTAATAAATAAAAAACAACATAGTACTGTACTTACGCTTGCTAAAGTGGTAGCTATACTAGTCTAATTAAGTTAAATAAAAATTTTATTGAATAATAATTAAATAAAATTTACAGATTTAGCAGTTAATGTAATACTAAAACAACCAACGTATATTTTTTTGAATGATTGGACGATTGTCGCTCTAAATATTGATTAATATACATGTAATATAAAGTAAAATAAATAAAGTTTATCTACTTAATAACAATGGGATCTTTGGTTATAGTTGATGGCGAATGCCATAGTGCTTTTATCGATAATTTATTAGAGGCTGAGTTATGAGTTATTCCAGTATTGCGGTTTCCATCACAGTTAAGTGTTCGAATATTTGAACCTACTGCTGACCAAGTTCCAATAATTTGTTGCTTGGTTTTTGTTTTTGCTACTAACAGAATACCTTTAAATGTATTAGACTTTGTTGAACCACGAACAGTAACTATGATTGAAAAAGAAACATTATTTGATGAAGAAAAATCTTCTTAATCACACTCACTCTGAACCGTATCCCTTGTAGAATATTGTAGTTTATTGGCTTGAATTATATACTTCGGTGAACATCGTTGAGAAGAAACACCGTGTTGAGGAAGCATTGATCTGCATGCAGTCGGCGGTGCACCAGATGGATAACTGTTTCCGAGTTTAATAAAGATCGAAACGAAGATGAGCAAATGATAAATGAACGCATTCATCTGAGAAAAAGATTTTTGAATGACGACCAAATCTTGCTCTTAAAAAATCATATGATTATAATTAGAGGTGTAAAGCGCTGCATTGATCAGTAGCAGTTGAAATTTTCTTAATTTCAAGGAATTTCAAATGCAAAAAATGAGAAAACGATTATAGAGATCTTATTGACCTGAGTGTGGGTGTGATGGTGTGAATGTTGGTATGGATGAAAAGAACACCCACACTCATATGCCACACCCTCATATTGAAAAAAAACAATTTACTTAGGGTCGACCAAGAATTCTGACCACGATGTTTTATAGAGCTTGTCAATAAGGTGACGCGTTCAGAAACGAGAAACCGAATATACCATGTTGTAGTGCTTTCTAAGGCGTGTCAAACAGTATATAGTAAATCCTGTTTTCATAAGACTTTGAAGGAACTATATTCCATTTACTGATAGCCTACTGTACAGCCACACTCACACCCATTCACATCCACACCCACAAGATGACCGACGATGCTACGTATATGAGGGTGTAACCCGTCAAAAACTCAACTGTATGTGAGAAAAAATATTTTACAAATACTTTCGAATAATACCAAGGACCACACTATCCAGTAACTTATCGTACTTGGGTGTGGGCGTGAGTGTGTCGTCGCCTATCAGTAAATGGATTGTAGGTCCTTCAAAGTCTTATGAAAACAGGGTTTACAGTATATCATTCCACGCACCTCGAAAAGCTCTACTACATGGTATATTTCATTTTTCGTTTCTGAATAAGCTACCTTATCGACAAGCTCCTTTAAATACGATGACCAGAACTTTTGGTCGACGCTAAATAAAATAAATTCAACTCTTAGAAATTCAAATTGAAAAGAAACATAAACCTTGAAAATTTAAATTTCAAACCAAATTAAATTTCCATGATAACAATATTCAAATTTATTTTAAACTTGAAATTTTGCCCAATTATTTATCGATTCAATAAATTTTCGTAAACTTAAACTGAGCATCCCCAAAACATAGATGGGACCAGTAGACTGGCTGGTCTACTGATTTTATCAATGCCCCAATATAAAATTACTAAGAAAATGGCAAAAATGGTTTCAAAAATTTTTATGTTTTGACATCATTGGTATCTTTATAACAATAATATGTACAAAGTGAACAGTGTAACAAAGAGTAGATCTAGACATATCGTATGTATTGTTAATATAAGCCGCACTGAATATCGAAACATGAAAAAAACCTTGTTGTGTGAGAGAGTCAAAACTTATTTTACACTCTTTATCCCTATGTACTGGTGTCGCATTAATGCTAGTATTGGTATTAATTAATACTAATTTTAATGCTTAAGCGTTAGCACTATTTTAATACAAATTCGACGCCCCTATTCTCATGTAAAAAAAGAGATAAAAAATATCTAATTTTAATCGATTTTGTTCTGATTAAGAATCGATTATAATGACGCGATTTTTAACCGATTTTCTGATTTTACTCGATGTTAATCTAATGCATCGGCGTTACGGCTGCCTCGACTAAGTATGAATTTGTGCCTTATGTAGAACTGTATCAGAGGTAGAGCTAGTACTACATCTACCATTAGTCAAAATGAAGAGTCAAAAAAAAATAATAATAAAAAGTTAGAGTTTCTAAGTTAGAACTGGAGAAAAACACGTTTTATACTGATAACAGCTAAAATCGATTAAAATCAGACTTTTTTGTTGTTGTTTTCATGTGGGCAGATGTATAGCGGGTGAGAACACAACTTAGCAAGGAATTGATTTCGTTGGTATCTGTAGCGCCTCCAATATCTCTAATACATCTATATCTCTGTATTTCTATACCTCTATATCTTTATCCAAATGTAGAGGCATACGTCTTCAATTTATCACAAACTTCAATTTCTCATATAGTCCAGTAGCTCAAACACAGCACTCACTTTTTTCTTGCTTCAGTTGGTTCGTTTTTTCGAAAGATATAATTATCAATCATGTTCGTTTCTTTTATACCTTCAGCTCTTACTTTTTTCTTGCTCTTATTTTTTCTCCTTTATTCTCTTTCTTCTCTGTTACTTTTTTTTCTTTCACTCTTTATTTTTGTTTCTTTTTCTTCGCGCTCTCTGATTTTTCTTTTTGATTTTTGCTCTCTCTGTTTTTTTTTCTCTGATTATGAATAGACCAATAAGAATAAGAGGATATTAGAATGAGTTTGGTGCCAATTGGAATTCAATGTGATAAAGCGCATGAAAGATACTTATAATCTTCTATGATGAAGAGTTCGACATCGTACAGTGCGTAGAAATATTCTGAAGGAAAATGACATCAAAACGATAATACTTTCTGCTAAATTTTGAAGTTGTGCAATGCAAATTATGTTAGATCCAGATTCGAACTTCTTTAGAGCAAGTTTCTCCAGAAATATGTTCCAACTAGCGAGAACCCGTACATACTGCACGGCAGCGTGTTTTTCTTTAACGTATGACCTGAAACCTCTAACCTTTCATTCGGTAACAAGACACAGAGACAATCGACATTATGTACATAGAAGCCGTACGGCGTGATATTCTTGTATTGCTAATACCCCATGTAGCTTTTACAGCCTTATAGCCTTACGACTTGTAGCCTAATCCACTTATAGCGTTCTTCTTTTATAGCATTTCTCCCTTATCGTCTTACCCCTTATTGTCTTACTGTCTTATAGCCTTACTCCTTAATAACATTACCTCTTTATAGTCGTACCCCCTTATAGTCTTATCCCCTTATTGCCTTACTTCGTTATAGTTTTAACTCCCTATAATGTTCCCCACTTATAGTCTTCTCCCCCGTATAGTCTTGCCCCGTTATAGCATTATCCTCCTGTTACCTTCCTCTTTTAAAGCCTAACCCCCTATTATCTTTCTTCTTTAAAGCCTTACCCCCTTATAGCCTTATTCGACCTTTAACCTTTGATCCCGGACAGAGAAACACACAGACCGACAGACATTGAACACTATATATATATAGATATTGGCTTCCTGTGTTTCAAGCAAAACTGAGCGAGCTCTACTCTTTAGACTGAAAGACTAGAGTCTAAAAACTGTAATTTATCTATGCCTGTTTGCAGCAAGGCCTTGACACAAGTGATCATTTTTTTTGGCACAAATGACCATTTTTTTAGAACAAAGGGCCATTTTTACGTCACAATTAACCATTTCCGTGGCACAAGCGACAATTTATGTGGCACAAAGTGCAATTTTTGTGGCAAAAGGCCCATTTCTAGGTCCAAGTGATCAGTTTTGTGACAAAAAAGACCATTTTCAGGTCCAAATGACTTTTTTGTGGCCCAATTAACCGATTCTGTGGCACAAACGACGATTTTTTAGAACATACGTCCAGTTTTTTTTGGAGCAAATGACCATTTTTATGTCACAATTAACCTTCTCTGTGATACAAACGACGATCTTTGCGGCACAAAGGACCATTTCTATGGCACACTTGACCATTCTTATTTGTTATAATCAGCTAAAGGATAAATCTTGTGATACCCAAAAATGTTTTTTATATTTTATGTCCACTATTTGAGTATATCTATGCTATATAATATGCAACATCTGTCAAATGTTGTTAATTTCTGTCAAAATTATCATTGCACAGAGCTCATTTTTATATAAAAGTGTAAGTACATCTTTGTCATGATTCTGTCAGTCTACGGTTCAATGAATCAGCTTCCAATGTCGATGGACGTTAATTGTTAGATACTGAAAATCTTATCTGGATAGCATGTTCTGTTGAAATAAAAAAGTACGATGCTTTCCTTTTGTTTTTGATCAGATATATTCGTTATGCTATCACTTTCTGCTAATATGTTTTGCAGCGAATGTATAAACTTTAGAGAATTTCATTCATGTGCAATACAGCTAGTCGATTGGCTAGGGATTAATACAGCTACACTTTGAATTTACATTTTCGTCTGTTGCGAAATGGAATAGTGACTTAATATTTTCGTTTGTTGTAACAACATGATGCCCACTTTGTGATATGTACAAAATAGCTAGAGAAAGACACATTAACCCGTTCACTTGAATATTCGTAGAGTCGAAGCAAACTAAAATAAGACCTACGCAAGAGACATGTTAGATTCCTATACACAAAGTCGAACGGAAAATGCTGTTTTTTCTTCACCGGTCTTTGCAGCTATTACGTTTTTCGTGTTCCAATATATCCAGGCTATCTTCCATCTAATCTCCCTATCTCTTGTCGACTGTTCACTCATTTTCACGTATCTCACTGCTAACTCTGACTTCCTAGGTCAACAAGTATGGACGAGTTCTGTCAGAAAAAATCGGAAACTGGTGGAACATGGACACAGTACTCCCGTCGGGAAAGAACGAGGGAAGGTTTGTCCACAAATCGGTCTTCAATGTAAATCGCTTCAGAAAACAGTTCTATCTTCGAAATAATGCTTCTTCTTTTACCACTAAGGCATTCTCGAAGTACTAAAACGATTTTTCCGAACACTACATAGTCCATCCCATTAGACACCCTGCAATCCATTGCTAGTGCAGATTTCTACCCGTGATAATGTATTGTAGTGCCTATAATCGCCACGTTCTTCAGTCTAAAAGAGACATATATTCAGGGCACACAGAGGTTGTCAGGAGTTGAGGAATGATGCCAAACGATGTATGAAAATATGCTTTGCTCGATATTGTCTGAAAAGTACACTGCCATAACTCTATGGAGAAGCTGATAGGCTTGACAGGGTGTCCATAGGATCTCCACCAGGGCTCCGTGTGAGATGGCACAAATCTATCTCATCTGTTATCGTGTGAGACAGAAAGCGTGTGAGAAATATCCCATCCGATCTCATGCAAGCTTTCAAAAATCATTCTATCCCATGGGATTCCATGGGACAAACGTTTTTTATATGAAGAGAAGA